CACCTTTTCTGTTCAGGGCTCAAGCCATGTGGCCCTGTCCATCAATAAACCATCTTTCCAAGCAGCCTCCATGTCTCCAGTGTCTTTTGCCCCACTTGGAGCTGAACCCAGAAGGACATTTCTTTCAACAATAATGTATAACAGCCAACATTTACAGAAGTGAAGTTAAGCGGGCCAAATACGTGTGCTTGGAGAATGTGCACAAAAATAATTTAGATTTTAAAAAATTGCAGAGTGTGTTGCGCTGCAGATGACATCTTAAAAAAGGAGACATGGAAGCTGATAATGGTAGTAGCCAATTGCACAATTATTTCTGAAGCAGTAACAACATTACCATTCCTAGCAAACATTCTAGTAGCAAGAGGCCCTCTTGTTCATGTCACCTTCCTGTGACATCTTACCTGGAAAGGGCTATCCCATGACGCACATTAGCAGAGCAGTCTGCCTTTAAAAACTCAGCAATTCTTTCCAATTGTAGTTAGTGTTAGTGCAGGCAATTTACTTCCCAATGAATCCCTGTAGCAAATTATGGGAATAATTACAAGTTAAATGAGCTCTTTTTATTTCCTATTTCTTATCTTGAGCAACTGTTTATTTTTCTCTCAGTCTTTCTTCAAAGGCTGAGAAAATACACCAACATTGTATTTATATATGTGTTTAGTTTACAGACAAAATAAGCCTAAGGGTTCTCTAAATGTGGGTCTCTGAACATGCCATACCACTCTTTTTTGCCCCAGGGAAAGTTTCAAGTTGTTTATGCAGAACTGAATGAATAGTTTATACCTGAAATGGAAATAATAGGTCAAAGCAGGTTCCTCTGGAGGGAGAGTAGTTAAAAAAAGAGTAAAGGGCTTTGATAGCACAATCACATTAGGTTGCCTTGATAGGTTTTTTTATCCCCTCCCTATTCACATCTTTAAAAATGAAAGACCTGTTTGCTTGATGCAATTTTGCTCTCACAAAGGTATTTTAGGTTGATTAATTGGAACAAGAGTTTATTCTGTTCAGTTGCTTGGCAAACAATTTCCTGCCTAATTATTGATACTTCTGTGGAATTTTCTTTAGGATCCTTCACATATGATGGCCCATGATATTCCTCCAGGTTACGCCATAACTTAAAATGGGTAGAGGAAAAAAATATAACTTGCTTTCACTGCCTCAAAGGGTCATAATACATTTGCTGTCATTCCCTTCTTCAGATTTTTGTGATGAGGGGGAAAAAAGACAAGGGAGAACTTAACATTACAAAAAGAACATGATATCTGGACAGTCACGCATCCAGTAAAGGTATATGAATGAAGCAGTGCAGAAAGTATGCTAACCTGTTATTTGATGGTGTCAGGGACAGCTGGGGATCTGTTTTCATGCACCTATCCATTGTTCACATTACAACCAGGATTTCAGGGGGGAAGATGCACAGGGACTCCAAATTTTTTTCTGGACAATGTTTCCAGAAATTTAAAAGTATTGCTCTGAATAATTAAGCCCTTCAGAAATTTGGAAAGTGCCACTTAATGAATGGTTCATGAGACTTTGGACAAGAGAGAGCATGTCCTTTTCAGCACTAAACTTCATCACACAATTATTCCCTTTCAGAAAAAGGCCAATTCTGATTTTACTTCTAGAAAAAAAATACCCTAAGATATTAATTTTAGCATGTATTAAGAAGCCACAATTTGACTGTTTCATCAGCTGAAGAGAAATTATTGTGATTTCAATTATTCCAATGAAAATGATATGATTTACATTAGTCTGAATCACTATGGTGAGATAGTAACTCCAAAATTAAATAAAACAAAATAATACAATAGATAATTTGGCAGATAGGCTAATGGCAGTTACATTTAATAAAAACAGCAATGCACATTGGCCATCCACCATGCATTTTTAGGATATGTTTTCCCAATAGTGATAATCACTGAAGATAACGAGTTTAAGGCTTTTCATAAGTAGATTTCCATTGCCTTCTTCCTAGGGTTGGAAGTGACTAGCCCTTAGTCAGAAAGTTGGCTTTGTGCCCAGTATGGGACTGGAATTCAGTGTCCCAGTTTCTAGCCTGATGCCTTAACCACTATTCCAAACTGACTCTTATCATGACATATAATTATTCATTAATTCTTAGTGGTTGGATCCACAGTTTAGATCAACTGGAATCAATGGCTCCTAAATCATCCATGATCTATTTAAGTTTCATTGATTCATTGGCTCTATCCTTATTAAATTTTGATTCAGTACATTTTGTTTTTGTTCCCGGAAATGAAGAATACTTATTGCATTTTCTGTCTCAGGTATCATAATATCCTGGTTGCTTTGTAAACTGTGCAATTGTTTCAAGTGAAGGCATTTGTTACTATGGGTCAAGGACTGCTATGAGTAAACAGCGGCAATTGCACTGCTACAAAAAGATGCACCAAACGGTAGAAATGCAAATTTTATGCTGCTTGAAGATCATGTCTTATCTTGATGGCAAAGGCAATTATTCTCTGGAGCTGAAGATAGAGAATAGATGTGGTTCCAATCTCCCTAGTTTGTGTGTGTGTGTGTGTGTGTGTGTGTGTGTGTGTGTGTGTGTGTGTGTGTGNTGAACTGCAGATAACAGTCAGCTGAAGTAGCCTGCAGTGCTGCACTCTAACCACTATGCCACCTCGGCTCCTGATCTGATCTTTTTTTTTCCCCCTTGTGCCTTTCACAGGATCAAATGCCAAACGCTTCCTCTGTGCTCCTGGAGCCCACTCCCAACGCTTCGTACCCCCCTCCATCCGATGACCGTGATGATGCTTTGGCTCAGGCTGAAATTGCCATTTTGGCTTCCATCTTCCTGCTGGCCACTCTGAGCAATGCCCTGGTGCTTGGAGCTCTCTTCCGCCAGGGTCGGCGGGCCAGCCCAATGCATCGATTCATCCAACACCTCTGCCTGGCCGATATGACGGTGGCCCTCTTCCAAGTCCTCCCTCAGCTCATTTGGGACATCACCGATCGCTTCCAAGGCCCAGACATCTTATGCCGTGCCGTCACTTATTTGCAGGTGGTCGGAATGTTCGCCTCGTCCTACGTTATCGTGGCCATGACCTATGACCGCTACCGTGCCATTTGCCGGCCATTGCTGGCTTTTCGGAGGGGAACAACCTCACGGCATCGACCTGTGCTATTGGCCTGGGCAGCATCCTTCCTTCTGAGCCTCCCACAGCTTTTCATCTTCTCCAAAACGGAACTGCCTAGTGGAGCCTATGAGTGCTGGGCAGCCTTTGCGGAACCCTGGGGAGCCCGGGCCTACATCACCTGGGTGTTTCTGATGGTCTTCCTCCTTCCCACCTTCTTCATTGCCACCTGCCAAGGCATGATCTTCTGCGAGGTCTATCACAGCCTGCGTTTGGGGCCAGAAGCAGCCCTGGCTTGTAAGGGGAGCCAACAAGGGTCCTCTCCTATATCTGGCGCTGTAGCGAAGACTCTTAAGATGACACTGGTTATCGTGCTCACCTATGTTTTCTGCTGGGCCCCCTTCTTCCTCGTACAACTGTGGGCTGTTTGGGATCCTCAACCACCCACTGAAGGTAGGTGCGACACAGCATTCAGTAACAGCACTTTAACCAGATTGTAACCCAGATTCCCCCAACCTGGTGGCTTTTGCCCCGTTGATCAGGAGGAATGATGAAATATTGTCCAACTCATTTGCGGGATACTGGATTAAGGAAGGCTCTTTTATCCCATGGCACGACAAAACCGCGGTCCACTAAAGCGCGCCCGATTAAAGCGCGCACCTGACAACATCATCAGCGTGACAAATACGACCGCGGAGAAAAAAGGGCGCTTTAAAAAGCACTTTTAAAGCAAGCCGATTCACGTTA